TCCTTACCTTTGAAAGTAGATATAATCAAACTATACAATTTATATCATTTAAGAGATTGCTCGCTTCTTCCCGTAGGGCTTACTTTTGATCCTTCTTTTGCTGTGCGTCTTCTTCTTCTTTTGTTTCTCCATTTTTCTTAAAAGATGAAATCACCTTGTCTTCCACTTCCTCAATCTGTGATTTTAATTCAGAAGAAATCTCATTACAAAAAAAAATATGTATTTAAAAGTCGAATAAATTAAATGGTTAATATAGGTGCAAAACCTAAACCCTACCTGTTATTAATTGTCACATTAATAACCTAATAAATCAACGGTCAAATTTATATCCAACAAGTTAATTATGTTAACCATTAAAACACAGACGGAGAGCTAAACTATGAAAACCCCACCCTAAAGAAATTTGAACAGACAGAGACTGAAATTTTTGGTAAATGCCAAATTGTCCTTTTCTTTTCAAAAAGTAGGGTCCTTTACGTCCTTTTCTTTCAATAATGTATAGTTTGCTGGAAAAAAAAACGTGCGAATATGTGATAATTAGAAAATAGTATTAATTTTTTAAAAAGTTACTGCTTATGTTTAGATTAGCTCGGTTACTGATAGCTTTTAACATTTAGCTACAACTGGGTAGGTTAAAATAAAAATTGTGTTTGAAGGAAAGCTAATGAGATTTTGAAGCAACGACTGAGTGAGAAAGATTGAAGATGAATTGGAAACAGGAGACAAAAGATGGTGTGTTTTTTTCATGCTGTTTTTTATTTTAATTATTAATTAAATAAGAAAAGAGAAGAAAATAATTCCTAAAAAAAAAAAAGACCTTGTGGACGATTTGTTCTGCAACATGGGCGTCCTTGGAAAGGGTTTTGGCTGCATTTTCCAAGAAAAGTGCAGCTTTCTGGAGTTGGCCGCCTTGTGGGAGATGTTCGGCGACCTCTTCCGCCACCTTCTCCACTCCCTCCGCCGCCGTCTCCACCATTTCTGCCACTTCCTCCACCGCATCCACCACTTTGTCTACGTTCTCTATCCATCATATCATGTATCGGCCGAATCGGAACCTTTTTTTCTCTCTTTTTATAATAATTTTGCAGAAAATGAAGAAGAGAAACTTACGGTTTAATATCAGAAAAGGCCACAATTTGTTACCCCCAAACGGTAAAATTGCGGATATCAGCATCCCAAGCATCCACAAGGGCCTGCAAAATTCAATGTTAAAATATAAGAAACCTAAAAAATATTTATAATAGACATTCGTCATGTTATATGAAACATATATTAGATTGGAGTTACCAAGGAACCTGACGAGGAAGATCAGGAAGAGATGGAAATCCAAGGCCTTCGCCGCTGTAAATGGCCATACGATGTCTGTACTGGGAGATTATTGTAAGATGGCAACTACTCCTCTTCCTCAGATCAATATTTGTGCTGGCAAACGGCAACTTCTGGTCATGATCACTGAGATTAATTTTTGAGCCATGGCGAAGGCAGCTTGGCCTTGAAGAACAAACTGAAACAATCGACATTTCTAAGCAAACAGATTATTGGGAGGATTATGAATGCTTGACGTGCAGTCTCCCTATTATCGGGAGCAAAAATTATAATTTTCCTTTATTTTTAAAAAGGAAGGCAAATATTATCGCGAGTCTCTCTATTTGGTGGGCCGACCCAAGAAGATTGGGCCTGGGCTAGGTCCGTAATCCGGCAGCTCAGAAAATGAACCATATTCGATCTGCATTTGCAAGAGCGGAGAGCCCAACGTGGACTGGAGAAGGAAGGGAAGATTGGGGTTAAACATTTAGGTTTAATGCAGAGCTTTAGCTTTTAGTCGATTTTGTAAAGTAATTTTTTTTCTTTTAATTAAATATTTCGTTTAAAATATTTATTAAGTTAAATTAGTGCCCTTTTTTTAGTATTACAAGAAGAATGGTGAGAATTATTCAACTATGCTCATATTAGCTTAAGTAATTTATTGCTGATGAGATAAAAAACTATTTATCCATTAGATAAAGTTAATAGAAATTTTACAAAATAGAGGGACTAAATAAATATAAGTTTGAAATGAAGTGAAATAATTGGAAACTTTATAAAATATATTAGTTTTTTTTTAATAAAACAAATTGGAGGTAGGAGGGTTCGAACTTCCCACCTCAACAGAATGAATAAATGCTAATTTTAGTAATTTTGACTATGATTTGAGACTGTAAAAATTTTGAAAATTATTTTAATGGTAATTAATTATGGTTCTATTTGATAATCATTTGGTTTTATGTTTTTGTAAATTAACTACTTACATGTATTTCTTTGTCTTGTTATCTACTTTTTAACCTCATTTTCAAAATCGAAGTTAAAATTTGAAAACTTAAGAATAAAAAAAAATTCAAAAAGTTGTTTTTATTTTTAAAATTTGGCTTGGAATCTGTATATATTTGTTAAAAATGTGAAAACATACCGAATAAAATATGAACAGACCAATACATTTTTCAAAAAAACATAAAAAAAAGGAAAAAAAAAAGCTATCAAACAAGGCCTAACTATTTTATATTATTGCTATTTCAAAAGTGATCATAAATTCAATTTTAATAGAAAAAAGAAAGGAAGTATCCAAATGATCCTAAAGAAGCCGGAGGAAAACTAAATTATTCTTTTAATTAATATCTATAATTTCATTAGAAAAATGTCTAACCTTATTACATTTATTATGGAAAAAACGAAAGATATTAAATATTAGATAGATACTCAATTGCAATTTTGGTATGAAATTCCCTCTAAATTTTTTTTTATCCATTTTATTGGCCCGAATGACAATTAGACCGACACATTGTGACTAGGGCAATAAACTTCTAATTTAGGACGTGATAATTTAGAGAAGGCATCAGATTTATGTGAACTCAGAAAAAAATATTTTTCAAAAATAACAATTGTATTTTATTCTAAAGGTAAAAAAACAAAGAAAAATACTTTGGCTACTAAAAGAAAAGCTTTTTCTTTTACATTTCTTTATCTTAACTATCAAATATTTAATAATAGTAAGTATAAATTCTTCTTTCCTAAATGAAGTCAAGTATTTCCAAAAACTAATATATGCATGTATTTAAATTTTGAACCATGGTGTGAAGTCAATTTGTGGTCGTTTTGAACATGGCAATTAGCAAACTTCCAATAACTCTCGACGAAGATAAAATTGATAACTACTAAGTACTAAGAATCAATTGCCTTAAAAATAATGATAATAAAATCTTAAAATAACCAAGGTCTTAACTAACATTGAAACCATCTCAAATATACTTTAGTTTTGGTGGTGGTGGGTCAAAATATATAGGTATGATATTTACTATACAATTATCTTTTGTCACTTACTTTATCCTATCATGACTTATAATTTTTTGATTTGATTGATATTAAGTATTTTAACAGTGATCCTATCGTGTAAGATGAGAATTTGAACTTATGATTTTTTGATTGATATAAGTATTTTAACCAGTTAAACTATATTCGGATTGACTCGTATGAAATAAATTAATATTTGTCTAATAAACTTATCGTATTTTTATTTTATTAATGATCAATACTATCTAAATATATAATTAAAAAAAATTAAGTTTAGATATCGAATGGGATACAATTCAACCATATTAAAATACACCTAATAAATTTGTAATTGTAGTTGATCAGAAAAGTAAGTACTTTTTTTTTAAAGGAAGTATTTATTTATTTAGAGAGATTTTTTTTTTAGTACAAAAAGGAAAATAATTTAGAGAGATGTTTCTTACACTTTAACCGGAAAACGGGGGTGACTCCACGGTGAAGGAGCCCTAATCACGTATTAATTTTTATAAAGAGTAAACTCAAAATTATTATTATTATTATTATTATTTTGAAAACATCGTAAACTCACAATTCAATTCATGTATGGTATAAATTTAAGTTTCTGTTTCTGACAACTTCATTCTAAATAATTTGTTTTCAGACCTCTAAGCCAAATATTTATTTATTATTATTTATTTAATTGGCACTATTGATAATAATATTATTGTCATAAACACGATTAGTTTCACCAACTTTATGATGACTTATTGTAATCTCGATCTGGACTTGCTACCAATTTTTGCTCCAATCAGATAGAACATATTCAAAATGTTCCTTTTTTTTAATTCCTTTGAACAAGGATTATAAATATACATAATTTATCTCATATCTTTTTATCGATCAAATAAATAATAAATATAAGTACGAATAACAAAGGCTTACATCATGACCTATTTTTGAGGTTTATGTGTGGAGTGATAGCCATTTTGCTTAAATATTACAAAACCAAAGGGAAGTTGGGCAAATTCAATTTACACAACAATAGTTTATCGGTCTACATCCACTATTACTAGATTCAAATTTGAATTAAATTCTTTTATTACTAAACAAGAACAAATTTTTTAAAAAATTTCGAACATAATTTCAATTTGATCCTATATTTTCATGACAAATCTATTAAGGGATCGGACCTAGGGCACGTGCCCCTGAAATTTAAGTACATATAATATACGTTGTATTACGTAAACATGAACTTGATCCTTTGGCGTCCATCACTACTTGAAATTTTGCCCCCGCCCCAAGTCTCGTGATGAGAAAAAATTTAACTTTAATGGTTGTTTTTGTCTAAATTCTATCAATTTTATACCAAATATATATTTTCTAACTCGTTTGACACATATGAGAATATTTTTTCAAATGAAAATTTATCAAACGATAAAATTTGGGATAGTTAAAATTTAAGGTGAAAATTGCAACATTTATCCAAATTACAAAGTGATATATCTTCCAAACTCACGCTTAAAATTGATATTTTTGCATTATGTTTATATGCATTTGTGTTCTCTTTATCATTAAATCATGGATCCACCACTGCATTTGGTTTTTATGATTTAGCTGAATTTCTATTTGTCTATATAGTTTCAATATGTCTACAATGATAAGATGATATTGTCCACCTTAGAAGTAAGTAAAAGAACTCGTATCAAAGAAGATAGTTATCATCACCTATATATCATGGTCTTGAGTTTATAAAGTGAATGCAAACAAAGTCTCATATTGGTTGGGGAAGAATATATGAATCAGTATAATTATCTTCATTGGTACAAGACCTCTAGGATGAAATCAAAAGAAAAACTGGTCTGACATATGCTTAGAATACCATTATACTTAACACATGAAATTTTGTTTACGATTTATCTTAATAATTTCCCACCTTTTTATCATATGCAAGATGTTATAAAATTGAATTTAACCTCGTGGTTAAGATGGAGCAAAATTTGTTTGGAAGTCATCGTCTTGATTGCTTCTCATTTTATTTCTTCATACAAAAAGATCAAAATTGGGAGTGGCGCACGCCTAATCTCCCTCTTCCACCACTCCCTTTCTTTCCTCCTTTCTCTCAGAGCTTCCCCTGTTCCATGGCGCTCACAATTAGCAGAAAACTCTTCCCTTCTACAACTAACTGTTCAGGCTGCCCCTACGACTGTCCTTTCGATTGCTACACTTTTCCAGACTTCGACTACTCGCCGCCGCCGCCGCCGCCTCACCAAAATCAAGCCCTTCAACCTTTCATCGTCGTCGTAATCGCTCTCTCCGTCGGGTTCTTCGCCGCTTTGAACTTCTACATGGTCGTCGTAAAGTGCCGTGGCCCCCGGAACTCGGGGGCGGCGGCCTCCCAATCCGACGGCGGAGAGGGAGAGTTACTGGACCGAAATCAAGTGGATCATCCAATTTGGTTCATCAACACCGTCGGCCTGCATCAATCCATCATCAATTCCATTGCGGCGTGCAAATTCAAGCAGGGGGAGGGTCTGATCGAAGGAACAGAGTGCTCTGTTTGTTTGAGCGAATTTCGACAAGGCGAGATGCTTAGATTGCTGCCCAAATGTAGCCATGCCTTTCATATTGGATGTGTAGACACTTGGCTCAGGTCTCACACCACTTGCCCTCTCTGTCGAGCCCTTATACTCACGGATTTGGGTGCGAGGCCCCCCAATTTGGGTTCTGTGAATCAGATCGAGGCTAATTCGGGCGGAAATGAGGAGACCCAGATGGAGAATGGGGAGATTAATGGCGAAGTTGTGGGGGAAAATCAGGCTGTTGTTGCTGTTTCTGGTGGGAGCTTGGAGAACAGGGGAGAAGTTGTTGATGAACAGAGAGAAGTTGTTGTTCAGGTTGGGGAGATTGTTCCAAAAGAGGGGATTACTGAATCTGATCAGAATCATGGAGTT